AACAAACACAGGAGGAGTAACGCACAGGTATAAAGCAGATGAAGGAGGTGGCATAGGCGTCAGATTTTGTGATAGGACCTCAAAAGTTGTGATTAAAAAAAAAAAAAAAAACCAGGGTTATTATATAAATCTCTTGTTTTTCAAGTTTTATTCAAAATACGAGCAAATAGGAATGAATGAAACGTGTTTATTTTTTATTTAATGATACAGGAATACCACGATGTACATTACTAAAAATGACAATCATTCCATTTCGAATTACTTGCATTGCTCTTAGGTGAAATTTAAAAGAGCCAAAGATGAATAAATAGTCATAATAGTGATTTATTTAAGATTAGACTCAGTAAAACAACGAATGACGGGACCGGGGGAACAAACATGACACCGCCGAAGAATTAGAGGTTGCACTGAACACCAAAATAGCACTATGTAACTGACGATCACGACCTTCCTCGAAGTTGCTAAGCTGATTCTCAGCCGTATCCCGGTGTTCCCGGATTGACCACTGCCGCTTATGGGTGAGGTCGCTGGGTTATATTTTTTCACCCATAGATAGATTCGTTCATGTCACTAGTGAGACATGTCTTTAATATCGTATATTCTTTTATGCAGATTAACTGTTGTATAGTATTAACGTATTTGAAGGATAGGGAATGTATATATATATATATAGTACTATAGTATATATGTACTCTGATATCATATATTACTGATTTTAGGAAAAAGTAAACCTGTGTACATCTACCAATGAACCACAATTAAAGGCCCATAGAGATCTCCAACCGCATCTTTTAGAGTCTTCGGAGCCATTAACTTTAACGATTTAGGGCCATGAGAATCAAAGTTATTTTGCGTCACACCGCCCAGCCCCCTAAAGCATTTTTTCAAATAAATGTTAAGTGTAATTCCCCAGAAATCGCAGACAACCTCAAACAGCTTCACTCCCCATGCATATCAAATCGCCTAACATCAACAACACGAGGACTCTATGGCACCTCACTGCACACACGAAGGAATTAACCTCAGTTTACTGTCTAATCACACATCCTCAGCTCACTGCTCCTCGAAGCTCTGGTTGAAGTCCGTATCAAGGATGCTCAGCGAATGGTTTTCTATGCCACTGATATGACATTGTGTATGGTTCGCTTACATTGCCTAAGCACATATACATTATATACAAAGCACGGGGAAGATAGTTAGGAGGCAAGACCTAAGGGTTGGCTCGAATACGTTTATATGCTGTTTATTCAAGCAAAAGAATGGCAATTCATAGGACTTATAAAATGCGTTGTAGAAATTAATGATGAATAATGATAAATTGCCACAACCAGTTTCATTTTTTGTGGACGCAAAAACAAGAAACTAATCAATGCTATGTGGAAAAAAACTACCTAAACTATAAACCAATAAACCTCAACGGTTTTTCGGAATTTTAACAGATAGGAGACATGGTTATTTACTTTGTCTCTTAGTAAACCTATACCAATAGACCAACAATTATCAAAAAACCACAACAATAATCTAAACAACAAAAACCTACTATAATGAAAACGCAAAGAAGTTCTAAGATTCATCTTTTACTGAACCAACAGTTTTTAAAAGCTAAACGTTGCATAAGGACATCACACAGGGGGCGCGAAATCTACGTAAGGCAACATGCGCACACAATTCAGTAGACGTGAGATGTAGTACGCGCGCACCTGCGCGGGAAACCTCAAGACTGCCTGGGAATTAAGCCAACATTAGAGGACACACTACTTTATAACTCATACGCGCTAATATTTTGAGAACAGTTACAAGTTGTCTACCTCTCGCTTTTTGAAGACACAGTATCTTGCAGAGGATGTATTTATCACGTGAAGAAACGGATAAAGGCGTAGTAATACCGGAGATGAGGTTCCAATGAAATACTAAAGGAGACGAAGATATCACGTGAAAAATAGGAAATACTGGGTCGTTCATATAAGACCTAAAAAGAATAAAACCATAAAATTCATGACACCCAAATAAGCGACGATGTGATGTGATGGATGCGTGAGTGGTATCCTTTGGGCATTTATATGCAAACTAGCAACCACGAAAATATATATTACACTACATTGATGTTGAACCTTACCTACTCTCAGTCTTTTATACTATACTTACTTTCTTTTTATAGGAAATAAAACTTATCATTACTGTACAGATACATTCTATGTGCTCAGTGACATTTAGACTAACTATAACACACACTACACATCAACTCATCCATCGATCCCACACTACTACACACAACACTACGACACATCATCACCACACACACGACAACAACTATTTAAATATTACTAAGGAAATCATTCATTTTTTCTTTCTAATATTTTAATAGGCTAGTTCTACGACCACGCTTATTAATAGTCTCTATAATCTACCTATCTTAAATAGAATTAGCAGTATAAAACATATAGTACTCGTACTATATATAGATGGTACTAGGTTACTTGTATACATATGTGGTGTGTGCGATGTGCTGTGTGTGATTGTGGGTTGTTTTCTCTCGCTCTCTCTTCTCTCTCTTCCTGCTCTCTCTTTCTCTCTCTCTCTCTCTCTCTCTCTCTCTCTCTCTCGCTACTTAATACCTAAATAAAATATATATACCTAGATCAGCTGATAGTAAGGACAGTTCGGTATTCTACTGTATATGAATTATAATATACAGTAAATGACACCTACTGACAATATGCACATAGCCACTATATTGGCCTCAATATACATACCAACCAGCATACACCACACATACCACACACCCATCATCACACACAGACACAACCACACAAATCATATCTACTACGCCTAAGTAGCGCGAGGGATACAAGCTCTCACTCATAGTTCTCGTGATCGATATATGTAATAGGATTTATGGATAGATTATGTGATATATATATAGTGATACGATATAATAAGCACCTAGTACATATGGACTATGAAAGTATTATATATATAGAGATAGATTTATAGTAGATTTCTTGTTAATATATAATATATAAAGACCAATACCTCTAACTCCTACCTCTCTCTCCCCGCCTCCCCCCCGTTCCGACAGCTGTGGTACCCCCTCCTGTTTCGGCCTGAAATCCCGTGGGTGTTCGGCGGCGCGCACTACGAGGACTTCCTTCCTCCGAACTCCTACGTGGACGCGACGAAGCTCACGCCGCCGCAGGTCGCCGCGCTGCTCAAAAGGTGATTGAAGTCCCTTAGTACTTGGGGGCTGATGGTTGGGACTTTATTCATTATTTATCCATTTATTTATTCTCTTTCTTGGTGGGTAATATTGTTATGATGTTAGTGCTTTGTTATTATTTATTTGTTGTTTATATATCTATGTTCTTTCATGGTGGTTGATATTGTTACTTTGATATTATTTATTATTTATCTAATTCTCTTCCTTGGTGGGTAATATCGTTATGATGTTAGTACTCTGCTGTTGATGTTTTCTTTTTTTTTACTGTTGTTACTTTGTTGGTTGTCTTTTGATATCGTTTCCACTATTGTGTTTATGATTGTTATTATCTTGTTAGTGAAACCTTAATGCTGGGATTATGCTCGGGTTTAGTCGATGTAAAATCAAGTCGACAAATGAAAACTTTTATAATGCATTTAGTGTTCTTAGGTCATTAAGATACATAGTGATCAAGATATGAAAAAGAATAAATAACACGGCAAGATATATTATTAGCTTTTGGATAGAAGATACAAAACCACAACCGAAAGGGTACAACAGCGTGACGTTTCGACCTCGGCCAGGTTTCCTTTTCAGAGGCAGTTAAACCATATCGGCTGCTGCGTGGTCTGATGTGGAGCGCTCGTCGAGTTCGAAACGTCACGTGTTTATATCTCGTCTTATTCGTCACTATTTCATTTCATTTGTGGAATTTCGAAAAATTTGAAAACCATATTCCATACTGCGTAATTATTCAATCTGAAATCCATCATGAATGTGCGTGTGTTCGTGTGTGTGTGTGTGTGTGTGTGTGTGTGTGTGTGTGTGTGTGTGTGTGTGTGTGTGTGTGTTCGTTTTGTGTGCGTGTGCGTATGTTATATACCTGAATGTATGTTTATGAAAGTATGCTTCGACATACATATAGTGTGACGAGAATCTTGGCTTGTGGCCTGAGATAAATATTGCTCCGCCATCTTCCTCTTTTCTTTTTTTTTTACATAATTCATATTCCTCATAATTAACTCCAAGTCATCAGTCGCGGATTGCCTCGGAGGTTTCTCTCGGCAGATGCGGCGACTCCTTTCCATTTCCGCAACGTCCCTCCATCTTGCGGCTCCGTTGCTCACACACGCGGTTTGTACTCGCGTGAGACTCACTCGGGTTTTCTCGTAAAAGAATATATGTATGTGTGTGTGTGTGAATATTATATATATGTATATATAACACACTCAAACGTACACACACGCGCACGCACACACACACGCACGCACACACACACCACACACACACACACACACACACACACACACACACACACACACCACACACACACACACACACACACACACACACACACACACACACACACACACACACACACACACACACACACGAACACACACACACACTAACACACACACACACGCGCGCTTGCTTGCTTGCATATATGCGTGTGCATTCAAGCGCGCGCGCGCATATATGTGTGTTAGTGAGAGTTAATGACATAGAGAAAGAGAGAGGTAGATAGAGATAGATAGAACATATATATATTACTATATATATATTTATAATATATATATATATTATTTATATATATAATAATATATATATATATATATATATATATATATATATATAATATATTATATAGAGAGAGAGAGAGAGAGAGAGAGAGAGAGAGAGAGACCAGACACCACACACAACACACACACACACACACACACACACACACACACACACACACACACACACACACACACAGATATTATATATTATATATATATATATATATATATATATATAT